TACCATTCTTAACGTGGCTTAAAATTACGTCCAAAAATGTTTAAATGTTTTGTAAACAGATTCACTACCCGGGACGTTATGGATCGTTCTCAACAAAAAAGGTTTTTTTTATTTAAGGTTTTTCTCTGAAGTGGTGCCTACCTGCCGAACGTCTCTCGGGCACACGCTGCTTACTTAACAACTAAGAACATAGGTTTGAACATACCTTTATAATAATAATAATACCTTCTAAGATTCTTTAGAACATTGTTATTGGCGGTTTTCAGAATATTCAAGTACCGTGGCAACATTAAAATTTTTTCATATATCTGTTCGGGGTTTAAAATGTTGTGTTTTGCACCTTTTCAAATATCAAAGAAAAGCTTTGTTACTGGCGAATAAAAATAATTCTTGGAATTTGCTTGAAAACTTTAAACATCTTTTGACGCTATTTGGAGCCTCGCAACATGCAGATTCGTTGATAGGAGTCCTTTTTAATAAGATTATACAATAAAGCTGAGTGACTAAGTATTATAGTCCACCCAACCTAGCTTTTGACTACGAAAAAAATAAGGGTAGAACAAAGTAGTTAGAGATTATTGGGAAAAGGCCCAAACATGCCTTTTATGAACTTTGCGAAAAAAAATATATTTTTGTAATTGCAGAAAAAGTATCTATTCCATGTGTGGACGGAATATCTCTCAAATTTTCCATAATTACAAATCGTCGATACGAGAATGCTCTTCAAGTATGGTAGCTAGGTACATCAAAGTAGTTCAAAAAATTATTCATTAACAATTGGAAATTTTTTGATCAGAAAGCTATAAAAAGATCGATAAAATAATTTTAAACGATCTTAAAAATTTTCAGCACCTCAAAAATTTTGTTGACTACGCTCAAAAATTATCAGACATACAATATCGAGGTTTGTGAATGATCTGAGACTTTTTCCTCCTAATTTTGATAACATAAGTACTGTCGTTTGTGATAATCAGAATATAAAAGAATGTCAATAGAAAGACCGACAAGCTAAAAGATAAAAAATTATTTAGAAGTTTTTGAGATGCAGATGTCACAGAACGTCGAAGATCATGTTAGCTTACACATCGTTTCAGTTGCATTACGGACATTTATGCCTCAGTTTTTGTTTTATCAATAATTAAACAATTTTAGTCCAGGAAGTACCTTCATATTCGCTTTTTCAGCCTTCATACCATCCAAAACTCTAAATTATCGCTAAAACAAGTGTTGTGATCTAAGAAGAAGCAGTGTAAAGAGATAAGATTCTCCAGGTGCCAATCCCCTATTGTCTTTTAATGGCTTGGGTATCGATTGCTTAATCAATTTTAATTACATCTGGAATAGAACGCGTTCACATCTTGCGGCTTTCCACTATCCCAAAACCATCTTTGCAGGCACACTGTTTTTTGCATAACTTTATTCAAAAGGTACCACTCTTAACGTGGCTTAAAATTGCGTCCAAAAATGTTTAAATGTTTTGTAAACAGATTCACTACCCGGGACGTTATGGATCGTTCTCAACAAAAAAGGTTTTTTTTATATAAGGTTTTTGTCTGAAGTGGTGCCTACCTGCCGTACCTCTCTCGGGCACACGCTGCTTACTTAACAACTAAGAACATAGGTTTGAACATACCTTTATAATAATATAAATACCTCCTAAGATTCTTTAGAACATTGTTATTGGCGGTTTTCAGAATATTCAAGTACCGTGGCAACATTAAAATTTTTTCATATATCTGTTCGGGGTTTAAAATGTTGTGTTTGGCACCTTTTCAAATATCAAAGAAAAGCTTTGTTACTGGCGAATAAACATAATTCTTGGAATTTGCTTGAAAACTTTAAACATCTTTTGACGCTATTTGGAGCCTCGCAACATGCAGATTCGTTGATAGGAGTCTTTTTTAATAAGATTATACAATAAAGCTGAGTGACTAAGTATTATAGTCCACCCAATCTAGCTCTTGACTACGAAAAAAATAAGGGTAGAACAAAGTAGTTGGAGATTATTGGAAAAAGGTCCGAACATGCCTTTTATGAACTTTGCGAAAAAAAATATATTTTTGTAATTGCAGAAAAAGTATCTATTTCTAATGAGATCTGAATCAAAATCCGTTGACTTTTACAAAAAGAAACTCAAGAACATCACTTTTGTAAAAATTGAAACAACGAACGTTTTGAATCATTAGATATTCGACTAACCGTATGTTGTTGAGAAAATATCCAGCTAAATGGGTAGCAAATAGACAATTTTCATCAATTTCTCGTCAATGGCTTCAAATGCGTTTATTTATAACATCAAATGAAATCGAAGCTTTCTTATGATGAATAAAATTACACCTTGTTTTCTCGCATTGGCCACATAATTACTACTACACAATACAGCGTCTCAAGGTGGAAAAACTTCCATAGAAAATCCTACGCATGTGTGATACTTAGACGTGAACACCATGGGAAAATAATTGTCATAAGTATTTTATCTTATGGTGCGGTTAATTATTTATTCGTGTTCTTATTTTTTTATAGGAATGATAAACAATTTGTTTTCTATAACTGTAGCAGTGCTTAACTATTTCTTATCTCATGATGTTGATAAATATTATTATATTTTTCAAGTTACAAAAATTACAATTTTGATCCTTTTTCTTGCCATTCTTCTGCGGTATCACATACTTGACACACTGGAGCTTAGTGGATTTAGAATAACACCGCCTTACATATTGTGCGATCGATATTTTGCGGATGTCGCCATATTCGATTTATTGTGTTTCCATAGTATGGAAATTATAAATCGTCATTTTGTAGCATCCTCCATACTGGATTCAAAATGGCGGCATTTAGCTCATTGTGTATTATTGCGAGAACCTTACGCGCGTACAAAATTTCAGCTAACTGATTGAGGTTGACTGGTTTCAAGATTATTTGACCCACACTACATAAGTTAGGTTGCATTGCTACTATACAGGGTGGCCCATCCATGTGTGTACGGAATATTACTCGTAAATAAATATATTTTGGGAAAATCTATTTACGGGATGTTATACATGACATTTGAGGGCACATTTCTAAAATATTGGCCATTATACAGGGTGTTCCAATTTCGACCTACATATCAAAGTTGTGATTTTTTAAATGGAATGCCTCAAATTTTATTGCATATTTGGATAAACCAATTCAAAAATAGAAAATTGATATTACATACTATGGGGTTTTGGTAATAAGCTACTGAGATACAAGGTGTTTTGTCTAGAAAAGCCCCCCACTTCGGCAAACCCTCAATCCGCCATTTTGAAATTTGGAGTGCTGAATTTTGTATCAAAAAAACTTACGCACCTCAGCTTTATCTTGTTTGTTACTTTTTCGAATTTTAATTTTGCTCATACAGGGTGGTCAAAAACGCAATTTTCTAAAAAATTTCAAATGCACCATATATTTGTGCAAGGTTGGACTCAATTTTTTATAAGCTAGGTACATCAGAGTTTTTGCGGCCTTTTTTTTCGGTCGTATCGCATCATCCTTGGAAACAAATAAATTGTTGATTAGTTATAAACTGTCAAAATTAGCTTTGTGAGCATTATAATAAAAGCGTGTTTGAACATGAATTTTTCTGAAGAAGAAGTGGTGAATGTGGTGTTCGTTTTGGGCGAAGCCCAAAGAAATAGTTTCCTAGCATCTCGCATTTATAAGCAATGGTATCCTAATATGCATCCAAGGCCGGAAACATTTTCCACGCTACGAGAATGTTTTGAATCAAATGGAGCAGTGGAATATAGTAAAAAATGTATAAATAATCCAAGTGTCACCAATGAGGCGAATCAGTTGGAAGTTCTATTAAAGTTGCAGGAAAATCCCCATTTAAGTGCAACGCAAATTGGAGCAGAAATTGATATATGCAGAACTTCTGTCCAAAGGATTATTCACAAGCATAGGTACCATCCATATCACCTATGCTTGCATCAAGGCCTTCGTCCTCAGGATTTCGCAGCTTGAATGGAGTTTAGAGTAGAATAATATGCTAAATAAAGTGCGTGAAGACACAACTTTCCTGGATAAGGTTCTTTTTAGCGCTGAGGTAAGTTTTAACAGCATAGGAGTTGTCAACAGGCATAACATGCACTATTTTATGCGACGAAAAACCCTTACTGGGTTAGGCAAATAGATTTCCAAAATAAATGGATGCTTGAATGTTTGGCGAGGAGTCATTGGCAGTCAAGTTCAGGTTTTTGTAGCGAGAGAAGTGATTGTGTATTGTATGAAGCAGGAAACCGACACTGGAGAAAGTTTAGATAAATATTGTCGCAGTCTGTAAGATGCTTACTATATCCGGAAAAAATAAGATGGGAAGGGAAAGAGCTATGTCGAATTTTCATACGAGTAATACACGATATGTACTTGCTCGGAATCTAATATCATGCCAATATGATCGAGGTACATATATCTGGTTGGATGAAAGTATATCTGTAAGGGCGTAGCTGAAAATATTTATCCCATTCCCGGGACCCGGATTCGAATATATATTTTTTAACAAAGCAATTGTAATCTTCTACCGATGCTGTGGCTTGGAGTACGATCCCATCTGTGATATTCAGCCTAGCCAATTAATCTGCTCTTTCATTAAACGAAAAACCACTATGTATGCCCTTTGATCCAGTAAAGATGGATGGATGTGTGTATTAGCGAATCCCAGACCGAACAACATTTGTTTGATAAAGAGAACATATGTATATATATATATATATATATATATATGCAAGTAGGTGACTTGTAGTTATTGATACCTTTTAAGGCTACAAGGACAGACTCTGAATCAGAAAAAATAGAGCTTTCTGGATATTATCGAAATGGGTAAGGCTGCTCTACCCCCAATTCCTTTGAAGTTACGCTTTTTTGAAGGCTTCTTCTTCTATTCGTCATTGTACATCAGAGCGGTCCCTGAAACCTTCGGTCTTTGTTAATTTTTAAGGCTTTGGGCTGTTCGATCATCAAGTCCTCCATGACAATCACGTACAAGCTGTTGCCATGACAGCTATCCATTAACAACGCCAAAGCACGTTCTGCCATCCTGGCAGCAACTTCTCAGATGGAACCTTGCGATTTGAGCGATCCAGCTCTTCTGGACGTCGCAGCCTGCATATCCCTTGCAGTTGAACAAAGAGTCCGCTACCTTTTAGAAAGACTCTCAGTCATTGCCGAACACAGGACGGACAGTGTCAAGAATGACAGTCGTTACAAGGTGAGCAACGATGTTCGGAGACAGCTCAAATTTCTGGAAGACGTTGATGTGGAGGAGAGAGAAACGCATGAAGAGTCTGAGCGTGAAGTACTGTTTAGAGCTGCTAGGAATCGTTCGAGGTTTGAGGATGGAGAGCAAGCTAGGTTGAAGGCTAGAGTTAGGGAAATGCAGGTAAAGGGTCAAATTTTAAAAAGGTTACGATCAAACACCGGAATCATGACAATAACTTAAAGATTTATATCGATGTTAAAATTTCCAGATAAGTTCAGATTTGTTTATAAATGTTAATCCAGAAAAGATCAATGAAAGAAAAACATCAACTTCGTTGAGAAAAGCTCAGAGTAGTTACGTGGGCTCAAAACATATTCGCTAAACGTTAATGCATTGAGCACTTTTTGTCAAAAGTACCATACGAATTATTGGATCCTCCATTCAAAACATACCATGGGTATTACCGAGCTCTACAGATGAACGACACTGAAGTAATCGGTTATCGATTCCAATGGTCTTGATCTGTTATCTGTATTGCAACTGGGCTGTGGGCACATTTTGCCGTTGAATGGTCACGGGAATTGTAACAGGTTGGACGGAGTGATAAGGGTTATTACCTAATACCACTCCGTAAGTGCGATGTTGATTGGAGACCTTTTGACGCTATTATACAGTTTCCAATTCACATTTTAGCGGTAATCATTGGGTTCAGACTTAAAGCATTTTGTTTTTGTTACTTGTCAATTGGTTTTGGAGGTTACATTTAGCGCAATGGCGGAGGAATAATTTACAATTACCCACGACACTGTTTAAGTTACAAATGGTTTTGCTGTATGAAATGCTTTACGATTTGCTTTCTTACTAAACCACTAAACCTTTTTTGGCCTGTAATTGAACTTTGTTTAATACTAACTTCATTACTTATTAAAATCACATGAATCCAAAGACCGTTCATACTCCTAACCTCATCCCACAGATAGACTTGGGTACGTTTATACTGTTTATTTTTTAATTATGTGCAAGACCCATATATTTTTTATTACGTTTTATTTGATGAATTTTCTATAAAACTCTAATAAAATCAAAGAATGTTTATTATTATACAACTAATTTGTCTAACCTCACTGACACTATGTATCAGTTTTATTTAAATTCAATTTTTATATATTTTTATAGCTCAAGATTTTTTTATACTTGAACCACCACCACCGTAATCAGTAAACGCCCATGTGGGCATATATAGGGATAGATATAGGGGAAAGGGGACACTTGGGCTCTAGCCACAATCACACATTCCGGCCCCGCCTTACAGATAAATCACGTTTAAGCCCATATGTTTTTGAATTGGAATAATCAATAAGTATTCATATTTAAATCAATCCAAGTATTCAAAACAGAGGTATTCGAATACTTTGTATTTGAATCTTTAGTAATTGACTTGATTTGAAATACAGTATTCAGGGTTCGCATTCCAATACCAGATTTCAGTATTCGACCCAAGTCTGCCCACAAGTTGTTTGGAGTCTCTGAAACTTCCTTTCAAACAGGAATCGAAATCCAAATCTCCGGATTCGGAATTATCGAAACAACTGGAATCGATTCCTTCAAAATGATTGAATTGGATTTCTACAATTGCCTCTGCGGTATCATTCCTTTGGAACGACTCATTAATGACCGACCCAGCTCTACCCCACTACAACATAGTGAGGATACGTTTAACAGCTTGTTAATCTATTTATTTCTCCTCTCTGTATATATTAAATATATATGAACAGTCTGGAATCTGGAGACGTAAAAATAGACATTTCGAATAGAAAAAACAAAAAATGTTCTGTACGTCTGTACGTTTCGTCTAGTCTTGCAATTTATCGAAACGTTAATACTCAATATTTTCATTTGATCTTCAACCAAGAGAGATTCAACTTTAACTGTGACTGATATCTATGTAGTATGTGTATGTATGTAGCGACTGAAGATTGAAGAGCTAAGACAACGTGAGGCGAATGCAACAGCTCTCCAGGCTATTGGACCTAGAAAAAGACCCAAGAGACTTGAAGGACATCATGATACCACCATGCAATTTGGAGAAGGACCATCTAACATTCAACGTCTCCCACTGCCACCCAGACAAAGAGTGAAGAAAGTGACAATGAGAGATGTGCAGCTATTGTTCGAAACTGAGAAGGATATGAGGAGAAGTACATTGTTATATAAGCTTTATCTCAAATGAGTTATCATTTATTAATAAAACAGAATCGTTTATGAACATTTTACTTTTAGAAATTCTAAAAATGAGGTATTTATTACGTTTTAGGGATGTAAGATTACAGGCACATCGCAAGAAATCATGTTACTAATTTCCATCAGTATGTCTCCACACCACTGAAACTCAGATAATGCTGGAATTTTGAAAACATTTTGACACAAGGCTAGAGGTGACATGATAATGACTAAGACGGCAGCATCTCCAGTTCAAATATTCAAAATCCAGGAATTTCATGACTAAATAACAGGTCAATCAAATTATATGATTGATTTTTGTCATTGTAATAATGACCTCGGTTCACGAGACAATCATAGAACTATACAAAACTGCTCCAAGGATGAAATAGCTTTGTAGATTTTGAGAATCGATCAAGTGACATCGGATAGCTATACAAAGAGTGAACAAAATTAAAAACGCTCAAACGGTTTTGTAGATTTTTTGGCGTTAGTAAATGTATACGCTTCTAACTCCAATAATCGATTTGATATAGATTTTCTCGTATATTTTCCATTGAGGTGGTTGGTCACGTTATTGTGTGTTGTTTTTCTGTGGCCGCTGGTTGGATTCTTCTGTCACGGTATATGCTTTAATAATGCTGTTATTAGGTGTCTTACATCCTATTAAAAAGATTTAATTTTGGTCCAATTGTTTTAACCTCATTCCCCTACTGTCACAAAGTATCAATGCGATCAAGTTCAAATTATGTCCACATGAACTTAAAGTATGCTGAGATGCTTAAAAAACCTGCAACGGCAATATAAAGTAATGCTGTTACAATCTGGTCGCTGGCAAGATTTGCTTATTGTCGCTGTGATCGCAACGTTGTCCGATGGGCGATAAGTCTGAAGAGACATTTCTAGATCGCAATGTTGTCATATAGGTGCGGAGTTGGGACTAATTGCATGGACTAGTCAAGTGACTTGAGTTTTTCAATTTCTTTGTTGCACATGTCCGTAGTTCACTTTTTTCCAAGAGGCTAACCTGGCTCGAACATGATGAAACAATCGGAGTCCTACTTAATCTAGTGGGGCTTCTGAACGGGTAATATTGTAGTGCTGTCAGATTGCTAAATATTTAAAACAGCTGCCACGATCCGTACGATTCTGTCAGTCGTTCTTGCCTTCTGATGAGAAAAGTTGACACTTGTAGGTATCTGGACATTGCAGACAATGTTGTCAACATTTATCCGCGACATTCAGGGTATTTCAAAAATAAGTGCCAATATTTCTGGGGCAGAAAATAGATCCAAAAATAACAAAAAAGTTCCTATACATAAATATAGGTTCAAAGAGGCTCGCGTACCGAGATATAGGGTGAAGAAGTTTTATTTACGAAATCGAAAAAAAAATATATGTCTACGGAGAGGCTAAAGATACTGGATTGAGAATCTAGACGTTCAATCATAATCAATAAACACACAGTTTTCCGGCCCGAACTAAAGCAGGGACTTAGAAACTTGGGTACCTGGACCCCTAATAGAAAATATTTTCTCCGCCAATGATCTTTCGGAGAAAAGTCATTTTATAAAACACCATTCAGCTTGAGGAATTTTTCCCAGATCATCCGTTTTAGACATATTTAGCTTTGAATATTTGAGGTAAAATCCCAAAATATTCTTATGAAGAAGCTTAGCTTCCCTTATTCTGAAAACACCATGAAGCTTGATATATTGAAAAAACATGTGAAGAGAGCTATTGCACCTCATTACAACATTATTTATTAATATCCTCAATCAGTAGCCTAGAAGCTTACGATGCATTCCTTTCCTGTTCACGCCACTGGTTTTGTCGGCATATCTATTTTTGTTTATAGGTAAAGAAATTTTAAAACAAAATTTTTACTTTGAAAATAAATCAGTAAAGCGAATAAGAATTAAATAAGACAACACTAAACATTACGTTTGATATAACTGTAGTGGTTGTTCCTAAATTTTTGAGGATATACCATTGAGAACAAAAAATAATGCTGTATAAATGCTATAACATCCAAACTAAAGCTCTTGTTGACCTTGGAAAATACCTGGCATAGTACGAACAGTGTTGAAAGCCTTCTGAATACTTCGACTCCTAGGATGATAACGATTTGTGATATCTTCTTTGTTGAGCTAACTGTTGACTCACACCGAAAAAACAACGTAATTTCAGAAGTAAAATAATAAGAATTTTATTCAAATTGATTGGTTCCACAATTAGTAATTGTGATTTTCGACAAACATAAGAATACCAGGAAAAGTATGCCATGAAAACCAGTGACGTGCATTGACAAGCATTAATTAATGGTAAATTCCTACGCTACTGATTTAGGATAGGACACGCATATTATTCAATTAATGTTGTAATAAGGTGCCATAGATTTCTTCACGTGCCATATAGCGTTTCCAATATCAAGCTTCACGGTTTTTCAGAATAGAGGAGGCTAAACCTTAAATATTCAAACGTAAATATCTCCAAAACGAGTAATCGGAGAATAATTCCTTAAGGAAAAAATCTATTGAAAATTCAACTTTATTTTATTTTACACCGACAAGGCTAATGGCGTAGTAAATATTTATTATTAGGTGTCCATGTACCCCACTTTCTACATCCCTGGTTTAGTTTGAGCCATGAAACTCTGTGTGCTTATTGCTGATGATGTGCTCACTGAACGTCAAAAACCCTAACTCGGTATCTTTACCTACTCCGTAGATACATTTTTTTTAAATTTCGCAAATAAAACTTCATCACCTTGTATGATGGTAGGGGAGCATCTTTGGACCTATATTTATATGGACTTTTTTGTTATTTTTGATGCACTTTCTACCTTAGAAATATTGTCACAGCTTTCTGAATCATCCTGAATAGCCGGACTGCTTAGCTGTCATAGTAAGATCCAAGTATTGCAACAAAAATATTGCTTGTGTATGCACTACTTAAGTATTAATTCTCGCTTTACCATATTTAAGGTACATACTGCTGTGTCAACATATAAGAAATAGCAGTATGGTTCGCGAGTGTTCTCAAAAATTGCAAAACTTGTTACCAAGAAGATAATTAGCTCTCATGCTGCTTATTAATTTCCAATATTGTTTACCACAAAGTGAATCTCCCAATCGGGCAGATGCCCTGCAAACTTCAACAATAACATTAGTAGAATGGGGCCATGTGCAGGGTGGGCCTAGATGCAAATGTGTATATTCAGGTGTAACCCCGGTGGACGTGACCTGTCGCTGAAGCCGCTTCGCTCCGGCCATCGTCCCATAATTTATACACGTCCAAAGGCGTTTTAATGCATTTTAAATTATTCAATGCCGGACAGTATTCGATCGGTCCGTGCCGAGTCGCGGCGCTGCTAATGTCAAAAGGTATTTTCGCAGGCGCCGAAAAAGAGACGTCTCTATATTTTTCTGGTGTCACTTGTTTCTACTGCAATCGGAATAAGTTATAAGTGGAAATATTCATTCTAAGAGCAAAGTGGGAATGGAAGAGATATTTGAGTACTACGATCGGTTGGTGCTTACTTGTAATAAGCAAAAAAGTATAAATATAGTATTTGGACGTGCACAAACGTACCCTAAACAGGTCAAGTTTGGCAGGACTGGGTAGCCGTAACAGTTAGCACGAACAGTCTCATTGAAGGAAGAATTCTTAAGGCAATTAGACAGCTCAAGTTCCGTCTCTAATCATTGGCCTCCACTCAAATGTTTCTATAGAAGTGAACTAAAATATTCAATATAATTGAAGCATGCATCTACTCGGTACTAACATACAAACTCGCTGCTGTGTAAAAGTGACATTCTTAAACCAGAAAGGTGCCTTTAGAAGATATACAAAAAAGCTGGGCAGTTTCCCTACTGCAACCTAGATGGCTTACTTTGCAAGATGATACGAAAGGGCAGTATAGCAACACGCCTGGATCCAGCTGATAAGAAATTTCTTAAAAACACCAAGGGAGACAAATCATTGGAATTGATTATGACCAAATATCATCCCTTTCATAAAAAAATACATATTTTAAAACTATATAAATACTATATTTTTTTGTTTCTTATGTTTTTGTTTTTTTTATTGTTTTATATAAGCCAATGGAATTACGAGCCCCTTCCCACAGTTGGTCCAACTACTGAAATCATAGTTTTTTTCTTATCAAACACATTTAATAAAAATGTAGCAGGGTCTTATAGGTTCAAAATATTAACAATAAATATTTTCATAATATATAGTAGAAAACACCAACTTTATCACTCCCTAATCAAATTTGCAGCATAAAAATAACACATGTTGCAATTACAGCATATCAAGCTATTTCCATTTCAATGCAAAATAAGTCTATAACGCATAGGTGGCTGTGAAAAATAAAAGCCATGACAATTGTTTTTATTAATCACAGTTGTCAGAATACGTTTAAAATAGTTTTGGGTATTTAAGGTTTTCAAAATGGGTAGAGGAAAGGTTATTGTTGAGAAAATTCGGTTAATGATAATTAAATTTTTTAATTCTGGGAAATCAAACTCAGAAATTTGTTAGACTTATCGCGGTACAGTGTGAGAAATATTGTTAGAAGATATAACGTAACTGGTTCAGTTAATATTAAGCCACGATATTTGAAAAAAAGTAATATCAGAAATGCCGCCCGAAGAGCATTAAGAAGAATAATCGTGAAAAAAAGGCGTGCCACTTATTTACAATTAAATGCTCTGTGGAGTGACGCTATTGGAAGGAGAATTTCGAGTTCCACAACTCATAGAGAGGCCCACAAACTGGGAATTAGCACAGTAAAAACCCTAAAGTTGCACAACTTGTTTATAGGCCAAAGAAAAGCCACTATTAACTCCACTGCAAAAGAAAAATCGGCTTAGATGGGCTAAAGAACATAGACAATGGACACCTCAACAATGGTATGCAATACATTGGAGTGATGAGGCCCGATTCGAAGTTTGTGTTGGTGACAGTCGCAGTAGAGTTATTAGCAAAAAAAATTAAGCATTCCATGTTGATTGTCCGAAGAGAAAAGTGAAATTTCCAGC